CCTCCAGGTCAATAGGTGGCGATGATCATGCCGATAAAATTAAATCACATGATTTCCGGCGGAACGTTAAGAAAAAATAACAAAACAGGGTGGTATGGCAAAGAGGTTGTGATGAAGCCAAGGCATAAAGCTCAGTTACCGTTGATATTACTATGTGTAGCGTTCGGATTAGGAGGTGAAGGAGCGGACACCGAGGGGAAGCCAATGTTAGCCAGTATTGCATTGTTTTGTGCACCATGAATTTACGAGGGCTCTTTCAGGACTTCAACCCCAGGTAACGTAGCTGCGTCTCAGCTAGCACTGTAGCTAGTTAGCATGGATTAAGTGTTCGGTAAGATCGTATCTCTGCTGTTTGGAAAAGAAAAAGTAAAAATCAGACTCATTATGCATGTGGAAATCACGTTCTCTGGTTTCTGGTTAACCTACAGGGATACCTCTCAATACAGTAACTAATGCTAACTAAAACCTAACCAAGGCCTGGCTAGCAGGCTAGCTGTTACCACCGATGATTTGCTAGTTAAAGACAATTTAATGTTGTCTACAGTGGATTGTGGCTCTAGTTATGTCATGTTTCCTTCTGTTTCAATTGCCACTTTTCGGTAAAAAAAACAAAACAAATAAAGCGAAAATAAAAAATGATTAAAATAAAAATATTTGGCATTTGTGCACATATAGTAGGTAGGTATGGGTACACAAGAAATACTGTGTTCTAAAATGTAACCAAAATTGTATTTGTTAAAGTTGTTCTTATGTTGGCCTGCTTTTCTTAAATTGGAGCAAGTTTGTCCACATGATTGCTGACAGCTAAGACTCAATACCCTACATACTGTACTCCACATATCTATCAAACTACCTGTCAAAAAACAAAGTTTTAGAAATCTGTCAAAAACTATTCTAAGCTCTAAGGCAGGGGTGTCTGACTCCAGGCCCCTAGGGCCAGTGTTCTGCAGGCTCTAGATATCACCTTGGGTCAACACACCTGAATCAAATGATTGGTTCATTACCAGGGCCCTGCAGAACTTCAAGACATGTTGAGGAGGTAATTTATCCATTTAAATCAGCTGTTTTGGATCAAGGACACATCTGAAACGGCAGGACCCTCGAGGCCTGGAGTTCGACGCCCCTGCTCTAAGCGTTAACCATTACAAAGTTTTAAAAATGATTTTTGTAATTTGGTTATAGCAGCTGTGGCATAAACCTTACATTGGGTGGTGGTCTAATACAGTTGTTAAGCATCTAATAAGTTTTCAAGTGGGGAAAAATGAGCTTTCCATATTTGCCTTTAACTATAAAAACTGCAAAGCTGCATCTTTTTTCATCATCATGTCTTTCATTTTTCCTCTCTTCTGTTGCAGCAAGTTCCTAATCTATTCTTGCCTGCTGCTCTTCTCCGTGTTGCTGTCCTTGAGGCTGGATGGAGTTATCCAGTGGAGCTACTGGGCTGTGTTTACGCCAATATGGCTGTGGAAGCTGTTGGTCATCATCGGGGCGTCCGTGGGCACCGGAGTCTGGGCCCACAACCCTCAGTACAGGTTAGACTCCCTCACTTGTATGTGAATTGGTAGTTAGAGTGTAGACTGTCTGTAAAAAGATAGACTTTCACTATTGCTTAGTGAAGTCCCCTTATGAAGCTTTTCCTCAGGCTCTGTTTTACTTTCGTAGTCATTTTTACAATTCATATTTTATTCAGTCTGACCTGAGTGTAGTGATTGAACCTGTAAAGTAAAAAATGGAAGTGTTTACTGAGGTAACAGAGCGAGGGAAGCGGGGCAGTTTTCCCAAAGTCTCCTGTAGCATCAGAAATCTTTTTTTTGCAAGCAGAGGAGTTGTTGCCTGCTGGACAGTGAAAAGAATGCAGGGTCGGCTTCACTTTCTCAGAGAGAAGCTCTGTCCATCTATTCTTACTGTCTGTGGTTTAAAGTAACTAGCAGACCCTGAACTGTGCACAGCTCTTTGCATTGGTGTTAGGTAAACAACCATATACTGTTACACTTACCAGAGCAGTACTGATTGTTAGAGAGTGATGAATTTGTTAGACAAAATAAATATGCAAATATGATGATGCTCACCCAGACTTCATCTTCTTATTCTCATGTTGTTGTCGTCTCCTCTGCTGTGCTCTCGTTTTAGACTTAAATCAGTGGCTTATTTTGATCATTTCACAGATATAATCAGCAGTTGCTGGTCTGTACTACAAATATTAAAATTTGGGCTGACAGTTAAAATTCATAGCTTAATGAACGTGGCATGTGAACACAGTCATAAGTTTGTCACATGGTGCTCAATGTAACTGCCAATATTAATGATTTGTATACCCTATAAGGATGTTGACATTTACATTACCCTGGGGAATGTTAATGAATTCATCTAGGAGAAGATTGGGAACATGAATACACACATACGTTTTAGTATGGTGATAGCAGCAGCGCAGGTTCAGCTTGAATGCTGAGATCAGGGCACCTGAAGTGTTTTAACCTTTATGATGACCTCTGTCAGGGCTGAGGGGGAGACGTGTGTGGAGTTCAAGGCCATGCTGATAGCGGTGGGGCTCCACGTCCTGCTGTTGATGTTCGAGGTGCTGGTGTGCGATCGGGTAGCGAGAGGAAACTACTTCTGGCTTCTCGTCTTCATGCCACTCTTCTTTGTGTCACCCGTTTCCGTAGCAGCGTGCGTCTGGGGGTTTAGACACGACCGCTCTCTTGAGGTAAGGCGTCTGATTTTTATGAGGATTTTTATGAGGAAACTCAGAAACTATGATCGTAAAATATCACAAACTACACTCCTCCAGCTGTTTGTCAAGATTCAGTGTCAAAAGATATAACAGTGAGGGGTTCGTATTTTTGCTATCCTCAAATGTTTTATTCATCAATCTTTAGTCAGAGTCATTTGAACTAAAGCCTGATCCATGTCTGAAGTCTTCTGCATACTGTTCTTGCATTATCAGACTCAACACAGCAAAGTTGCACTTTTTTAAACATCGTGTATGAAAAAGCAAGAAATGGTCTCAAGGGTAGTGTTTTCTGTGAGTTGAAGGTGTTCATGACGTGTGAAGGTCTTGGGTTTGAATCCACTGGCCAGCTGTGAAGCGTTTGCATGTTCTCCCAATGTTGGTGTAACTCTTGGTCTCCAACAACACTGGTTGTTTTTGTTGCATTTTCTGCATGGCTTTAAATCCCACTGAGAGTGTTCATATGTAGGATGCGTGTAACAGAATAGGCAGTTTAATAAAAGTACAGTTCTGAACTTCTGTCCTGATTGTTTCTCCCTGTCTTCCTCTCCTCAGCTGGAGGTGTTGTGTTCAGTAAATATTCTGCAGTTCATCTTCATCGCTCTGAAGCTGGACAAGATCATCAACTGGCCTTGGCTGGTGAGGCACACGAAACACGCCACTTATTGTGCGTCCATTGTGACCACAATCTGTGCTGGTCCTGAAGCCCTCTTTGAACTTGCTTTAATGAAACCCTGCCTGTGTTTGTGTGCTGCAGGTGGTGTGTGTCCCACTGTGGATCCTCATGTCCTTCCTGTGCCTTGTTGTCCTTTACTACATCATCTGGTCAGTCCTCTTTCTGCGCTCCATCGACATCATCGCCGAGCAGCGGCGAACTCACATCACCATGGCGATCAGCTGGATGACTATTGTCGTACCGCTTCTCACGTTTGAGGTGAGGCGTGAAGTCTGCATCATCTCCTGTTGTTTAAAATGGCTGTTTGGTCTCTCCAATGTAAAGGCCAAGACTCAGCAGTTCATCTGCATCTTAAGGATAAAGGTCACTCTTTCGAGGATGCCAATGTTCACATTTTGGACAGAGAAGACAGATGGTTTGAAAGAGGAGTGAAAGAAGCCATCTATGTCCACTGTGAGCGACCATCTTTGAACAGAGGCGGTGGTTTACGACACCAACTGTCTGCCATCTATAA